TTTGTCTGCACACCACATGGGCATCTTTCAGGTCCCAGTTGATGTGACAGACAGTGCCCCAGGAATGCTGGTGAAGGATCTCCACTCTGCCTGCACAGCGACTGCCACCATCCACCAGTCGGAGATTTGGGGTCTCTGAGGAGAAAATAATTATGTCAATGGGTGTATTTACAAAGAAAAAGAGGAGGGTTTTCTTGTCTTATGCTATTCCCCCCTCAACAAATCAGTTGGCAGAATCCACTTTCAGATTGAAGAGCTTGCTGTTAAGACACGGAGTCATTCACACTAGGGCAGCAGCTAAGTTTCAATTCCTATCAAAACAAGTAGAAGAATTGATTATGTAAAAAAAAGAAAAGAAAAAAAGATTAAACACAATATAATATAGTTAGATGTCTCAGGTAGAAATTATTATGTAGCTCCTATTAGAGTTAAACTTATTATTTGCAGAGTTCTCCATAGGATCTGATAACACAATTCTAGAAATGTCAGGTTTCCTAGCTTGAGTAGTTGAAAATGTCTTTTTCTGAAGCATTTCTAAAAGTCAATGGGCCAGCATCTGATTGGTTCTTATAGAGCACACATACTTGAGTGCTAATAGTCTGATACATGGAAGGATCAGAGCACAGTGGGTAGAGTAAGAAACTGGAATGAGATTATCAGAAACTTCAGTGGACAGCCATGAATCCAGGAGAAATCATAACCATTTGGTCATTAAGCATGGAAAATGGATGGATCATGGTTTGTCTCCAAATATTTCACTAATGATTCTAAGCTTAAGAGTTCAGATTGGATATGCAATGTCAAAACTTGACTTACTTTAGGTAGATTGAGCAACTTCTCAAAAATGATGATGTCAGATATTGACATTGCTCAACACCCATAGAATGTTACTTCCCCCCCCCCAAATAAATCAAATCTATGCTGGAATTCCAGGAGTTGATATTATGCAAAAAAATGGAGTTTTTGGCAAAGAGGTAAATAGCAGAAAAGAAGTACCTTTGTTGTGACTCTGAATGAAAAAGGTTAGGGAACATAGGGACAATTGTATTTTGAGAAGAGAAAGAAAGGAGCTGATAAAGAAGTCATGATAAACTGCATGGAGAGCAGAAAGGCAGTCTAGGAAAGTATAAAGCAATTTACAACTTCATCTCCAGCTGCCTGGGTGAGGGAGGCAACTTGTAAACATAAAGTAAGCTGGAGAATGCAGACAACCCAGATGGCGTCTTACCTGTGGGAGAAACACATGGTTCTTACAAGCTTTAGATCAAATTTGGGGCATTGTTCTGAAGGGGAGTACTCCTGAACAACAAGCAAGCTTTGGAGAAAAAATTCATCACATTGCCCAGCAAACTCTCAGAGTGATATAACCAGGAGCTATCTTAAGAAGTGGTCATTGTTAGGAACTAAACTGCTCTGGGGTTTAGACAATATGTGGTAATGACAATTTTAGGTCCCTGCCACAGTGATTGGGTGGAAGTTAATGTTCTGTAGTCTCAGATAGAAAGAATGCCTGTCACAAACACACACGAGAGCATTCAATTACAGGGGAAGGATGGAAGTCTCATTGGTAAGTGGTCCCACCCTCTGTGAAGAATAGCATTTCCAGGCACATGTGGTTGCACATAGGGACCAGGTCTGAGAGCTAAGAGACAATATCTGGCAATTCGCAGCTTCCCCATGTCACATCTCCAGCGATTACACTATTTTCCACAAGTTTTCCAGGGATTCACCATGGCTAGGACACTTGGCACACCCCTAACTCTAGCCAATACAGGGAAATTTCACCTTAATGAAGCTGTGACCTAGTCCTGGTGAAGCATTAGTGGATATTTCAACTTAATGAAAAGGGAAGAAAGAAATCCACAGCTGAAGAACCAGCCACAAGTAGGCATAATTCCTGCTCCTGGACAATCTCCACCTTAATTATTAATTATTTTTCCAGAGAGAAATAATCCAAATGTTGAGGAAAAGTGCCTTGAAGGACCTCAGAACAGGTTGCTTCCATACCCCTCAGACCAAACACTAAAAAATAATACCGCAGGAAGAATGCTCTGTACACTGTGCTGTCCTTAACAACACACCTGAACTACCAGAAGGGCCCCATTTATATGACAACTATAGAGAAAGATGTGCTCTGACACAATACCTAGAGTTTCAAAACCCATTATTACTAGCCAAAGAATCCACAGAGAAACAACCTAAAATGTCCACTTTAAATTAATCTCAACACTACAAGACAACAACACCTCAAGGCACATCATTAAGACAAGGCTGCTTATTAAGAATATTCTCACATAACAGATTTCTAAGCAGAAACAATAAAGGCCAGAAGGGCATAGAGTGATGTACTTAAGACCTTGAAAGAAAACAGCTGTGAACTACATGACTATGTTCAGCGAAGTTATCCTTTAGAATCAAAGAAAAATAAGTCTTTTGAAGATAAGTATCAGTTAAAGGAATTTTGAATCCCTGAACCTGCACTGTAGAATATAGTGAAGCTATCCCACACACAGATTAGGAAGCAAGACAACCGAGCCACGAGAGCATAGGAAAGAACAAATCTCACTAGAAGAGCAGATAAACAAGTGAGAAGGAGGAAAAAATCAAACATTATCAATTCAGTAAATTGACAAAGCTCCAAGATGAATAAAGGAGAAAGATGTGACTATAGATTATTCAAGCTGTCCAGAAAAAAATGATAGGCAAAGAGAAATAAAAATCTGTAAGACAAAATAAGAACAACCAATAAGGTAAAGTGACCATATGAGGAAAAAACAAAGTAGGCAGCTGAAGGTTTCTATTTTCCAGGGCTGTTTGAGGCAAGATCATCATTTAAGTATATGGTGGTGTTACAATATCAGCATGCAGGAGATCTGAGAATTTATAAAATAACATGTTATAGAAAGGGCAAAAGCACATGTGAAAGACGCACACTGGAATATGGGCCAGCATGGATAGCCCATCAGAGGTTGGATTCAAATTCAAAGAGAATAGCAGGATAATTTCACATTATAACAAGATACAGTACTTGTCCATGATTCAGCAATCCTTGCCTAGTCCAGTACAGGCAGGCAAGGAGGGCATGGAGTGATGTAGTTAAAACATGAGTTAGGTAGTTAAAACAACCATTCTTGTCATTGACAGATAAAGAAGATACCATAGAATTGAGTGTACTTGAAGGTGGAGGATTATAATGGAGCATCATGTTGTCTAATCAGGATAAAAAGAACATGTGGAATCATGAGGAGAGTGGAAAACTTGGAAACTGATAAAGGAAACCATTTGGAATCTGCATGAGGATGAAATATCTGGAAAAGGAGAATCAAGAATATGTGCCATAAGGAAAAGAAACAAGAGTCAGAGAGGGAACAATGCAATGAAGATCTCAAGCTGGACAGTTAGTGATGGTCAATAGTGTGGCCATACATGGAGATGTAATGTAAGGGGAGGGTTTCAAATGGAGAAAGCCAATAATTGAGAGGCCAGGATGTTATCTCAGTTGTGTGCAAGGTTCCTGGAAGCACCAGGAACAGGAGACAGAGGAGCCTGGGGAGCCTGGTACTGCAGACTTCCTGGATGAGAGGAGTGACCAAGCTGGAGAGTGACACCAAAAGTGCTGGCAGGTACCACCTCATGGGCAAAATCAAACTTCTGGACATGGAGAAAAAGAAAAGAATTCATTAAAAATCACAAGGCACAGCAGAAATATTCTAAGAATAGAATGGATAATTAAAAACTTCATCTAAGATTTGAAAAGAAATAAAAAGCATGTTGAAAGGGAAGCACAGAGCCTCCAAATGACAAGAACTTCATTGTTCTCAGAGGACAGCCAGGTTTTTATCAGAACAAGAAAATGAAGGGGACATTAGAGGTCTTAAAATTTTAGAAGATGATAGGCTCCAATTTCCAACAGGCCCCATGGAATGTTTTCTGGGAGAGGGATGCAGTAGCATATCAATAAAGACTCAAAGGAGGTAATATCAACCAAGATCACTGAGACTGTGAGGAGGTGAAATCAAAGAAGAAAATAAGGGGAGACCAGGCCTCTCATCTCGCTGCAGTTCCCCATGATGTGGCAGAGGGGAAGATTAACAAACAGCTTTTCAATAGGATTATTATTTGGGACATGCTCTGGATAGGCCTTGAGCTCTTCCTACCCATCCAGGTAATCATGCAACACTTTCCTTACCCTCTTCCTCCTCTGCTCATGGTATCTCAAGGTCATTATGCTCCTCCAAAGTCAGTACTTACACTGATAAATCCTCTACTTTCTTCTCTCATTGAACCTGTAGTGCTCCTTAAGTTCTCAAAAAAATTTCTCTTTTTCCAAAATCACACATTTCCATAGCACCTTATGCATGGTTGTGTAGTCGGGCTGGAGTGCAAACTCCATGAGGACAGGGGCAGTGTTTTCTTCTTGTGTCTGTCTTCCTGCCTGGAATTATTTTTTTACCTACAAGTACTTTCTACTTGATTACTTTCCATCAACAAAATAAACTGACAGGTAGTCTGTCTGGTGTAGATGGATTTCAGAGTAAAGAGTCCAATATATTTGACTCCCCAAATTGTTCCTCCCTGGTTTGAAAGTTGGAGGGAGATGAAGTGTTTACTCCTAACTTCAGTTTCCTCCTCTGAAATAAATGATCACCATGATACCTATCATCAGTTGACTGTGATGATTAAGCCACATTATTTGTGGTATGGTGGGGTGGGGGAAAGGTGATAGCACACAGTAAGCAATGTGTATTACTGAGGTCTAATCATTCACTCTCTCACTAAGGAAATACAGATTGATTAATATAATCTGAGACTGCATTAGCTAATTGCTAAGAATGTTTATCAGAGTGTAACTTCATGCTCCCATATGCTCAGTTCAGTCTCTGGTACTTCTCACATATTGCTATCATTGCAGATTTTCTTATATTTGCCTTTGAAACAGGATTGCAAGAGTTGGATAAAGTAATCTCTATCCAGTATTCATTATGTAGGTTTATTTCAATTTATCCATTATATTTGAATGTATAAAACTTTTCTAACAACAACCTGCAGGCATAGGACAAACACATAAAAATAGACAGTAGGTCACCTGTACATGTGATATGAGCTTCCTCCTTTGCAGAGCAAGATTGGTGTTTCCAGGGGTCAGAAGGACACTGCCAGAGAGAGCTATCAATTTCTCGACAGTGGATTCCATCTACCCAGTGGGGTCTAGAACCTTCCCTGGGAGGAACCAAGAAATCCAGAATCCCAGTGTCTCCACAGCCAAGCTGTCTGCAGATTATGGACAAGGTCATGGTATCCATAGGGCTGTGGCAGACACTGCCCCAAGTGTTGTTGTAGAAAATCTCCAGCCACCCAGCACACTTCTGGTCCTCACTCACCAGCCTGAGAGCCAGGAACTCTGAAATAGAAAGGAGGAAAACAGGGCTCAGAGAGCATTCAACTCTTCCTACTGTTTCTTCTTTATTCCTAACTAGTGAGTGCTCACTGCTGACTCTACTAAAGAAATGCCCACTAGGTGGAAGACTGGAATTTTTGTCCCTTTAACGTGTTTTGCTAACTTGTACCTCTCTTTCTGTTTCTACAACAATGTAATATTACCAAATGCATAGGCAGGAACAATGATCTGGGGACTCTGTAGGAAGTGAATTCTTTGTCTGCTATCTGACTAACCATCTGACAGATCTTTAAAAAAATGAGTACAAACAGAGGAGTAGTAGAAGTGTGGAGCTCCAAATATGACTACTTCTTAATCCTGAGGGCCTGTGAATATTTGAGCTCACATTGCAAAAGGGCTTTTCAAACAAGATTAAGAAAAGAATCCTTTCTAGGCAAGAAGGGACATGCTTGTATTCCAAGTTGATTGGAAGGCTAAAGCAGGAGCATCCCATGTTCAAAGCCAGCCTCAGCAACTTAGTGAGGCTCTAAGCAACTTAATATGACTCTGTCTCAAAATAAAAAAAAAAATAAACAAAAGTATCATGGTTGTGCTCCAGTGCTTGAGTCCCCTCCTTCAAGCCCAGTACCAAAATAACAAACAAAAACAAAAACAAAACAAAACAAAACAAAAATTAACAAAAGTATGCTTTCATTATGAGATTATCCTGGATCATCCTGGATAGGATTTCCCCAATGTAATGACATCCTTGTACCTGTATCCTCATAAACAGATAAGCCATTCTGGCCCTCACTAGAGTGTGATGTGAACATGGAATGGTGAGATGGTTGAAACAATTTGGGTTGAAGAAGGAAGAGGTCATACAAGGAATTCACATAATTTATAGAAGTGAAAAAAGGTAAGAAAAGGAGTCTTCCCAGAGCTCCAGCTGTTGCAGCCTGCTGACACCTTGTTTATAGCCCACACAGACCCAGGAAAGTCTTCTAACCTACACACTGTAAGGTGATACATTTGTATTGTTTTAAGACCCTCAGTCTATGGTAACTTGTTACAGAAGAAATAGAAAACTAATTCAGTGGGTCAGAATGTTGTTGCACTGGCAGGTAGCAGAAGAGTGATAACTGCTTTAAATGGACACTGTAGAGAAAGACTGTGTCAGGGGACACTGCTGAGATGGAAGGAGCTGCTGCAGCAGGAAATGGAAGCACCTAATCTTCTCCTCTGCTACAGGCACAGGAATTATGAGAGGCACCACCTCTCCTTTGCCCTGTCAGCAACTACCCAATGCCAGCCCTACGGCTCAGACACCATCCTGCAGATCCTTCTAGCCTATGCACAGAATGTATCACAGACCTGAGCAGATGACCCCAGCATCCTTTTTGTGACTGCAGTTGTGCTGCCCCCAACACTGGGAAGGGCACTGCCACAAGTGGGCCTCCTCTCCTGTGCAGTTCACTTCATCCAGCCAGATAGGCCCTGATCCCTCTCCAAAGTGAGCAGAGATGGAAGCCTCCAGGGCCACTCCACAGCCCAGCTGTCTGCACACCACATGGGCATCACTCAGGTCCCAGCTGTCATCACAGATGGAGCCCCAGGAGCCCTGCTGCAGGATCTCCACTCTCCCTGCACAGTGACTTTCCCCATCCACCAGGCGGAGCTGTCTGCTGTCTGAGGAGAGACAGAGTCATGTCAGTGCGCATTTGCACAGGGAATGGGAAGACTCTGATGCTGGGGTCCTTGCTTACCTAAGCACTTGGCAGTGTGGCCCTCTGAGGCTGCAGAGCCTGCTGGATCAGACCAGGAGTCATTGCACTGGGACAGCAGCTGGGCCTGGTTTCCTACAGATGGGAGTAGAAAGCAGGAAACTGAATTAAACTTGACAGTAATCCAGTGATGGCATCTGAAAGCTGTAGCCCATGATCAGTAACTTCCTAGCTCCTATTCAAGGATTCTGCTTCTGCTTCTGAGACACACTTCTCTCTTAAATGAAGTGTAAATCTACTAAAGTCCCAGGAATGACTTTAGGAAAGTGTGAATACAGCTCCCAGGGAAGCAAGACTTAGGAGTCAAGTTCAGAGAAAAATAAAACTATATTCAGCTATTTTTCCATGGAAGCATTTGGGCATTCAAAGGTAGTAGGTGACACTCTGAAAATTTCATCCATGTTTGCCATTTTTTCCTGGGAGTACACAAGTAAAATTTACATTGAAACAAAGAGGAGGAATCATATTTAAACAACCAGGAAACTTGTATCATATATTATAAAAGAATATTTGTCATAGAGATGATGCATCTTAGTAGAAAATAACAAAAATCCAATAAATATTTTTGAAGTATGTATAACTAAAAACTACCAAGTAAAATGATCCTATATAGTTAGTAGCTAAAAATACCAGAGCATGAGTGTAACAATACTACAAGTTAACAAGAAGTAGAAAAATTAAGTGGATTAACATGGGAAAACAGAGTGAAAAACAGAAAGACAAAAACATAAGAAATATAATAGGATTCTAAGAGAGATGGTGAGAGAACCTAACATTCCTATATATTGTACAAGTTTTAGGTATTAAAACCATAATTGATTGTACAAAAATTCAAATTAGAAAATACACAAAGTGAGATATTTAACATACCTGTAGTTTTTGAAAATACCCACAAATTCTGTGACACTATATCTATTGACATGTGCAGACCATTTCTCCTGCCCTCCAATCTGGGCTCACAGCGGTGAGTTGTTTACAAGCAATAGAATGTGGTGAAGCCAGCACAGCTTGTCTTAAGAACCTTGCTAAGAAAGTCAGGCCTCCTCCTCTAACTTAGTAGGATGTTTGCTTAATGCGAAATCTACTGTGTAGAGACTATTGTGTAGGAGAGAACTTTTGCAGGTGGTTCTGTCAATTGTCCTGGATTCCAATCTTTGTCAAGTCTACAATGACCTCAGCTGCAAATGAGATCCAAGTGCAACCTCATGAGAGACCTAAAGAGGCAACTGCCAAGAGCCCTTGCCAAATTTATGAATCTGGAAATTATGGGCAAAATGAAATATATTTTTATTTGTGTTGGTATCTTTTTTTTTGGGGGGGGGGCAGTGATGCATTAAAAAACAATACCAACTAGGACAATGATATTTACTGTGAAACAGCAATCGTACATTCCCATGTTTATTGTGACACTACTCACAATAGCTACAGTACGGAATCAGATGTCCACTGCAAGAGAAACCCATAAAGAAAATATGGTATAAATATGATCATAAAAGGAATGGTTTCTTGCCTTTTGCATCAAAATGGATGGAATCATAGGACATCATGTTTAGTTCAATAACCCAGACACAGAAAGACAAGTAGCATATAGTCTCCATCATATGTGGAAGCCAACAGGTTATTTTATGGAATTTGACAATGACACTGTGGTTATGAATTAGTCTTGTTATTATTTTAAGAATAAGGAAATATCTTATTCACCTACTCTTAACTAGTCACAGAAATATTTTACATATTTAGGGATAAATGTGGCAGAAAGAGGGGATAATACAGAAAAAATAATAGCATTGGGAAATCAGGGTTAGGGTTTATCTGGGAATTTTGTGCTATCTTTGAAACTTATTCAGAATTCTCAAATCATCAAGATAAATAATAAAATAAATGAAAGAGAAAAAGGAAAACAAAGCCACCAAAAAAGTGAATGTGAAAGCTAATTGTGGTGTTTAGATACTCGGTATCCCAGAAAAGCTTATGTGTGAGACAATGAAAGAAAGTTTACAAGTGAAATGATTGGGTTATGAACATCTTAACTTAACCAGCACATTACTCCTTTGATAGTATTAACTGGGTGTTAACAATAGTCATGATTGTTGTGGCTGGATGAGATGGGTCCCTGTTGGCATGATTTGGGGATTTATATGTTGTCTTTGTTGAGCAGAGTTCTCCCCATTTCTGTTTCTTGGTGGCCATCTGCTGACCTCATTTACCCTGCTTCACTCTTCCTCCATGATATTCTGCCTTACCTCCAACCACAAGGAATGGAGTAGGATATCTATGGACTGAGACCTCTGAAACCTTCGGCTTCAAAATAATTTTTTCTCCTAAAATTGTTCTTGTTAGGTCTTTCTGTCACAGCACAAAAAAACAGACTAAAACATTAAATGTCCTAGGATATTTTACTAAAATAAACTCATAAAAAAATAACATCAAAAACATAAAACACCAATAGTATACCTAGTGAAAGTTACGTTTAATTTCTGAGGGAAATTAGAGATATACCTTGTACATTAATTAGCTCCATATTGATATTTAGGTTAAATCCAAACTCAATCTAAAGACCATCATTCTATTATTGAATTAAATATATCACATTGTTTGTAAAATTTATTTGAAATGCAGAAGACCAAGCATGACCAATGTACTGGGCAGAAAAAAACAACACAATTAGAGCAGTTATTTTAAAGAAATATTTAAAAAAGTTAATCAGACATGCTATAAAGTTAGGATAATTAAGGAGGTGTGCATGGCTATAAGCCTAGAAAATGACAGAATGGAATGGAACAGAGCATAGAGCAAGAGTCAGAAATATCTGCACCCTATGTATTTCAAAGGTTACAAAGCAATGGGAAAAAGTCTTTTCAGTAATCATTCTGAGTCAATTGGATATCCAAACAATAATGTGAAAGTTTTTTTACACCACACACTTTATACAATACCAATTCCAGAAAGATTGTGCAACTATATGTAAAAGAAAGGTAACTAAATGCGAATAAAATACTCTTGAAAAATATTTTTATGATCTTATGATAGCAAAGTGCTTTTAAAAATGACACTAGAACACGATGAGAGCAGCAAATGTTGATATGCTGTGCTTCATTAAGAATAAGAATTTGACTCCAAAAAGAAGACCATATATAGAGGGGGCATATTATAGGACAAAGATTAATAAAGATATACAGATATATCTATATTTCCACCAAACAATATTGGCATGGTACTTTGTAGAATCATTATTTGTGTACTCAAAAAGTGCAAACAATTCAAATCTCCAAATCATTTCAATTGTTCAACATATGATACTGTGGTTATTTGGCAGAAAACTCTACAACAATAAAAATGAGAGTCAGATAAAAATACAAATATGGGTAAATTCTAAAAGTTATGTTGAGACAAAGTAGACACAAAAAGAGAACATGGTGCATGATTTCATATAAAGCTCAAAACTTGAAAAACAAAATTCCTTGGCAGCAAAAGTTAGAGTGGTCTTCTTTGGAGGGTAGGAAGGCATAGTGACTGGAGGGATGAGAGAGTCACTTCTGAAAGCTGCTTATGCTCTGTTATTCCACGGTGAGGAATGTGACAGGGCTCTCATTCATTGTTATATAGTGTTATCTATGAATTTCAATAAATGATAATTCTTACTTAAAACCAATCCTGTTTAATTTCTTGACAGGGCTGAAAGATGAATGATCATTAAGAATCATAGTTAACCACAAAATGTCTCATTTTTTAAGTCAGCTCTCCATGCTCTCTCCTCTTAGAGACATGTCACTCAAGTACCAGTCAGCCCTGACCTCTCTTACCTGAGCAGACCACAGAGGCTGTGTTTCCATGAGCACAGGCAGGAACCCCCAGGGCAGTCACAGGACAATTCCACAAGAAGGACTCAGACCCTGAGCAGTGGAATCTGTCTCTCCAGATCTCATCTCCTCCTTCCACAAAGTACTCTCCCTTTGGGGTGGAGATGGCAACTCCACAGCCCAGCTGATGGCAAACAACATTGGCATTGGCCATATTCCAGTGGGAGGCACAGAGTGTTCTCCAGCCTCCAGAGGTCTTCATCTCCACTTGACCCTCACACTGAGAGCTGCCATTTTTCATGAGCCGAACATCTGTATATCCTGGTAGAAGACAGGGTTTAGCAACATCTCACATTTTTCTTACCCCCATAGAGTGTGTAGGGAGGTTAAAGTCCTGTTGTGAGTCTCACCTGAGCAAACAACTTGCACAGCCCCTCTGTGTGGGCAGCTACCTCCAGGACAGGGCACTCTGGGGCAGAACCAGAGGCCAGGCTCCTGCCCCTCACACTGGAACTCTTCATCCCAGACCTCTTCACCGTCCTCTCTGAAGGGAAGGTTCCCCAAGACAAATGCAGCCTTGCCACAACTCAGCTCTGCACAGATGACCTGGGCTGTGGCTAATGTGAAATTCCCATCAGATACTGGAATCCAGTCTCCTCCAGAATTCACTTCCACTCGCCCAGAGCAAGATCCGTGTCCTCCAACCAGATGCACAAATCCTATGGGAGAAAAAACAAACAACAAGTACCAGCGAATAGGAGGAGGAGGCTTCAATTCACATGTAATGATGTGGAATTTTTTTTTGTTGTTGTTTTTCAGTGTTGCAGTGTGGGGTTTGGATTCAACAGATGGTGCCTGAATGTGAATTCTTGGAGGAAGTGTGTGAAGACAAATTTTGGAGAAGGAATTTGGAAGGTCAATTCTAAATTGTTGATTAAAGAAATGAATATACACACTGCTCTACACACATGTGTATGTGTCCAAAAATGAATATATGTAGTGTGTAATATGCAGTTTTCTTTTATATGGACATATTATTCTTCATATTATAAATGTATCTGTGTGTTTGTATGACTTTCTGTGACAGTTACCTCCTTTTTTAATTAAATCCATATGTATCCACTGAAAGTGAACTCAGTGTAGAAAAAGACTAGGATCAATTTTTCACTATTTTATCCTCTGAAATTATCAATTCACAGATAATAATTCCAACTAACATAACATTAATTAATGAATGAAAAAATATCAGTACGTTTGGAAAATGACAGTTTATACTTATTTCTCATTTAGGCATGAGAAAAGAGCCCACTAAATAGTGTGAGGCTGAGATAGAAAACAGGTTATTGTGACTAAAATAATCAGGGTTCTTTAGATCATTCTTCACATTATAGAAGAAAGAAAGGCCATTAGAAGTAGGAATAGAAATTATCGAGAGATTTGAGCTTGAGCATTGTTATTTTTTATTTTCTTTTGTGTTTTATTAAGGGTTTATTTTATTTCTAATAAACAGAGTTTTAAGACTCCATTATATAGCTACTGAAGGTGGTCGGGAAGTGATTTAAAGTATGGGTCCAGACAATTTGGGGAGACATTTGGTTATAGATGTAAAATTGTAATGTAATAGAAAGTTCAGGTAGTAATGAAGTTCAGCAATGAATCCTTTCTCAAGAAAATAGCATGTTCATTATATTTGTCCTCAAGTAAACCATCAAAGTAGAATGAATATCAAAAGCATTAATCTAACTTAATAAAATTGTTACTTAAAATACTCCATTTTCTCTTTGAAGCTGATGTATTAAAATGAAGTGTGAATGAATAAAATGTAAATACATTGATAATTCTAATTTCTATCATTATAGAGGAGTAATATAGTGTACCTTACTTATAGAGTCAAAATGCAGACATAAAAATTGCAAACTGAAATCACAAATCTTTAGGAGGTTATGTTTAAAAGAGGATGAGACCTACAGGAGCATCATAAAATCAGCCATCAATACAGTTATCCAGTGACAGGAACAAAGATCAGCCTCCAGGACAGAAACCTGGCTGGCTGAAGGCTCTGCCTCTGGATGCATCAGGTCTTCTTCTCTGTGAACTCTGGTTTCCACTCAGTTCCACCTTCACATTAAAGGTCAACATCAGCACCACCAGAGAGGGCCACCAGGTTTGCATGACTGATTGCAGTTTAAGCTGAGATAGAAACACAAACTTGCCTGAAGTGGCACTATCTCCTTTTTATTTTCTTTTAAAAAAATAATATTTGGCCCATTGCTAGCATCCGAGTGTTAGAATGTCTCAGTGGAGATCAAATAACATTATGTCCAAGTTTTATCTGAGATAATCCACTGGGGTATGAGTGCAATGTCCTCTGGTTCAAATGTTATGAGGGTATCTTTGTCTGAATTCTATTGGAATATCAAACTTTTGCAATAAACTTTTATATGATTTCAATTATTAAAAATCAGAAGAATTTCAGATAAAGAAATAGATCACCCAATGTAGGTTTCACCTTTACTCTTCTACTCTTTTTTTCTCAGTCTCTGCTTTTTTATTGATTTTTTTTAATTTAAATTTTTCGTATCTATATAGCCTGAGAGGGGGAAAGAGTAAAATCCATACAGTACATGTACTCAGACCATAACTGAGCCTCTGTCATTGTGCTGAACAGAAATTCTGAGGTGTTCAGAGGGCAGTATTGTTGCAAACTCATCAATATATTTATTTGTCTTTTTAAAAAGAGCTATTTTACCAAGAACTACTGAATGTAGAATTAATACAATTAACCAAATTCCATGAAAACTCCAAAGGACAAACAGCAAAAAATAAAGTAACTTTGAAACCTTAAGATTTGACATCTACATCTTGAACACTAGAGAACAAATTTTGCTTTTTGTGTCATAAATCAGAAGAGACAGAGACACACTTGCCCTTCAGTCCATAAGAGGGAAGCATCAAATCTCACAACAACCAATCAAGGAAAATGGTCCTGATCTGTGGCCTAAGAAACCTGGAGAATTGGCACCAGAAAGAACTGGGGGTTCAGGATTTGGCAAATAGAGTCTTTTGGTGGCTTCTCTTGTAGGGACAGACAGATGGGCAGCTCCCAGGCAAGGTCTGGGTGTAGATGCTTCCTGTATAAATAAATGAGGTGTTATGATATTTATCCTAAATCCATTCTCAGTCTCAATTTCCCTTCCTAAATCTCTCTATCTGAATTCTCTAGTACCCTGAATACCTCAACTTTATGTTGAGGGTATCTTTGTCTTAGGCACTGAATTCTATTGGAATATCAAACCTTTGCAATAAACTTTTATATAATTTCCATTATTAAAAATCAGAAGTATTTCTGTTTTATGATGTCTCCTCATTCATCACTCCAAAATCTTATCTTATGTTTAGGCCGTTTTCATGGCTAAGTTTAAAGCTCCACAGTGATAAATGCTGTTGGCAGTGTTAAATGTGTTAAAAGTTACTAAAAATGATATACCACTGAAGAGGCTCATGTGCTACATCCTTATGTCCTGACAGAGAAGACAGAACCTGGGGAGAGTAAGTGACTTTTAGAAGTTAGAGATAAGCTGGCATCCAGGCCTGTCTACTATATCCTCATTTATGACTCTCAGCAACAGCTCCTCTTGCTTTCATGCCCCTCCTTTCCTACTCCCCCCACACCCCTTCAACCAGCCCCTCCATAGAGGATATACCCTGTGCCTTTCTCTGGTGCTGCATCTCTACTCTTATTTCACAGAGGTGGCCTCCACTTTATCAACTGGGTTTATTTGCAAAAACACTTCAGTCAAGTCCCAGAAGGGTTGTAGAAACCTGGCCTTCAGGAAACTACTCTTTCTGTACCTGTGCCAGCTCCTGGGAGATCCTCAATTCTCCACATGCAAGCTTTTACAAAACTAGGGTTCTCTCCCCTTGTGGAAATGGCCTCTCTCACTTCCCATCACTATCAGAACTTTTGGGCTCAAATTTATCCAGGTAAACTAAAGAGGCAGGATGACCAGGTTGATTTCCAACACATTTCATTAAGACTACACCTTTGTTTCTTCCCAAAAGACCAACATTTCCTGCTCCACCTTTTCTGTAGCTGGGGCTCATCTGCATCTAACCAACTCTCCAGGATGTTGATCATAAGCCTTGTTTCTGAATCCACCTGTCTCCTCGTTCATCACTCCAAAACCTTATTATACACTATGACACAGAACTGTGTCACCTGAATAGATGGGAATGTCTCCATTAGATGTGGTATTAGGCCAGGCTGAGGTGCACATAGATCCCAGTATCTTCCTTGAAGACCAAACTTGCCCTGTATTCTTGGGCTTCCCAGTCATCTCCGAAAGCCAGGAAATTGAGGCAGTATGACTTCCCATAGAGGCAGAGCAGGGGACAAAGAGTGAGGTCAATGAATGCTCAGAAATGGGCAAAATGTGTGTGATCAGGAAAGGGTAAAATGGGGAAGAGTGGTTTTCAAAGGAGACATAATCTAAACTTTTCACCTTGACCTGATATAGGAGAGAGGTATTTGAAGAGAGTATTGACAATCTGCTTCAATGGTTTCTAATACAAATTACTAATGCCTTTTTAGAATTTGCCATGTTCCAGAAATGTTTTTAGGTATTGGGTATGAATATTTCAAGGAAATAATGAGAACAAAAACAAACAATTTCAAGTCATTTGAAGTTTATGAGAGTCCTGTTTGGGGGAAAAAAGAAGAAAAATGGCATCTGCAGAAGTTCATTGATTCACATGAATCATTCTCACTAGAGACTGCAGTCAGATCTATCTTTGTCTGATCCTTTGCTTCAGGACACATTGCTTCATTGGGCAAGTTTCAAGTTTCTTAAAAAGTTGTCATCCATGGGAACTTTGGTTCCCCCATTATGACCTCAATACCTCAACTTTGAGTTACACTTACAAATCATTCTTCTTTGACACAGCAAGGGTGTCCAGAACTCACACAAATGTACATAGATTCCCCACCCTACACGAGGGTCTTAAGTGCTGCTCAGATAATCCTTGTACGCTCTTTGTTAATCCTCTGTTGCCATTCCCCAGACCCTGGAAGTTTCCTCTATCTTCCTCAAAATGTTCCATTTTTCTCATTCTTATCAAATTTACCTCACAATGCACTTCCCTTGTATTACTGAATCCATCACATATAAACTATATAAACTTCCCTCATATCTTGTCACCCATAGCATTTTTCTCCTTTTTTCATTTAAACTTGTTTCAACTAATACCTGAAATATAAATAGTATACCTATTAGTGGAGTAAATAGATTTCTTGATACATGTGTATACTATGCTATCTTATTTCCTCAAACACTTTTCATTTCCTTTTGTGAATATTTCCAATATGCTCTCTACTTGCTTTTTGAAATAGGTTTTCTTATTGCTATTTATAGTCACTGTACTGTGCAATGGTGCACAAGAACTTCTGGTCTATCTAAGTAAAATCTATAACTGATTGATCAATCCCTATCTAGCCCTTACACTTTCGAGCCTGTGGAAATCACAATTCCAGTCTAAACTACTAAATTTTTATGAGGTCAACTCTTTCAGGTTTCACACATAGTGAGATTAGAAGACTCTTGTCCTTTTCGCCTGACTTATTTCAATTAACCTAATGATTTTCAGGTCCATGCATGCTGCAGCAAATGGAAGGATTTCATTATTATTATTTTTTTTTTTGGCCAAGGAGTATTCCATTATGTAAATGTACTTCACTGTATTCATATATAAGTTGATGGACACTTAGATTATTTCCCTTTCAACTACTGTCAGTAGTACTGCCATAGACATGAGAGTACAGAGGTCTCTTCAACATCCTGATTTCATTTCCTTTGGATATATGCTCAGCAGTGATTACTGTATTATATGGTAACTTTGGTGGGGAGGTGGTTGTCTGATAATAGCTTTGTATTTCCTTTGTTTGTAAAGGACAGCTTTGCCATGTTCTGTATTTTTAATTTGCAAATTTTTTCTTCAGTTCTATGAAAATCTCATGCCACTCACTTCTGGTCTACATGTTTCCTGTTGGGAAACTAATTGCCAGGTGAATTAGGACACCCTATGTGTTCTTTGTGTCTTTAGTCTTGATTCCTTGAGACTCTTTGTTTTTCATCCTTGAAAGCAGTATTATAGTATGTAATGAAAAGAGCTCAAGGGTCCAGGTCAAATTTGGGTGCCCAACTAAACTTTCAGTCCCAGGCAGAGACTTAACTCTCTCCAAAGTGTGCTCCCTGGGGCTTTGGGAAGGAGTGAGGTTGGTCCTATGGCCACCAATGCTGCAAAGCTATGTCACACACTGAGGCCTCAGCCTGCCAAGGTAACACAGCCCTGTGGAGGGACCAAGGCCCTCAATGCTATGAGCTGCCTATTGCTAAAGTGGACTCATGGCCCAAGACTCCTGCAACCAGCCACAGGCTCTTCTTGAGTGTGTTCCACAGCACACAGGTCATGATCTCTCTATGAGCTCTGTCCTACATTTGAGTCTCTAATTCCTACTAAGTACTGAGTATCATCATAATGTGCCTGGCATTGGGCTCAAAGACAAAATTCTGCATCTGTTCTTATGTCCTGCTCCTGAGACAACAGAGTATTGATTTTCTTCTGCCAACACAGGTTGGAGGAGTTGGGGTGGAGACAATCTCTTTGATGCCCAACTAAACACATTTCCAGAGTCTCAGTCTGAGCTGTGGGCTCTCTGAGAGAAAGAATCATGTCAGTGGTTATACTGTCATAGGATCAAGGATTATTGGAATCTACTGGGCATCTGCCTAGTTCTGAGTTTCAAGTCTAAGGCCTTGACTTAGACCTTTCCATTCCCCAAGAAAAATGCATATTTCTTCATGTTGGGCTGCGTGGATTAAGGGAAAGGATAACTCTTATTTTACTCTTTCTTTTGAAGTGTCTTTTCTTTTTATTATCATAAAAGCTGGAAATCACCTGCTTTCTTTTCTTTTCATACACCTGGTTTATTTTCTCTCATCAAATTGTTTGGTGTGTGCAAAACTGCTTACATGGTGTTTTGTGAGAGATCACAGACCTCTGGTCCTTCCTGCCAATGACATAAAAATTCTGATGTCTAAATCTGGAAAGAAAAATTGCAACTTTGCAATAATCCATAAATTCTCTTATAATGTCTTTGATCCCTGTGCCCACATACCCACTAACCCAGTACAAAAATATTTCTGACTATACTTCTACAAACACTCAATTCAACTGAGAAAAGTAGGGCCTCATTCTTGGCTGTCCTTTGAAAAGCGCTGCAAACAGAGTGTGTGTGCTAATTTATTTGTAATCCTAAGGAAAAAAAACCCTTTAAATTAGAGAAACAAAAGTATGAAAATTGACTTTAAGTTAAAATGGTCTACAAAAAAAATATCTTGTGAAGTAAGAGAGTTGAGAAGCAAAAGGACACTATCAGACATTTACAGGACAGGAATAAATGAAGTCTGTCATCCACTGTTACCCCTGAATCCTCAGATTCAGGAAAAGATCTCTTAGTCCTCTCTGAACAATTCACCTCTTATTCCTCCAGAGATAAGACATTACTTTCTGGAACTTTCCATTCTCTTAGATAGTGAAGAATACACTGACCATACCTGAGCAGATGACTCCTGCATCATTATAGTGCCCACAGTTGTTCTTTCCCAAGCCCAGGGCAGGGCAATTCCACAAGTAGTCCTCCTTTCCTGTGCACACCAGCTTTGTCAGCCAGATGGGTCCAGATCCCTCTCCAAAGTGTGCATAGAACAAGGCATTGAAGGCTACTCCACAGCCCAGTTGTCTGCACACCACGTGGGCATCATTCAGGTCCCAGCTGTCACCACAGACAGTGCCCCAGGAATGCTGGTGAATGATCTCCACTCTGCCTGCACAACGACTGCCACCATCCACCAGGCAGAGCTGTGGGCTCTCTGAGGGAAAGAATCATATCAATGGTTATATTTAAAAGGAGAATGGGAAAGGTTGTCTTGTCATGTGGTACTGCCTTCCCAACCAAGCAGTTGGCAGCATGAACTTTCAGAATGCAGAACTTACTGAGTAAGACATGGAATCATTCATTATACTAGGGTAGCAGGTAAGTCTGAGTTTCTAACATAACCTGAGAAAATTAATTGTGAAAAAAATAAGAAATGAAATCAAACACAACATAATCAAGTGAGTAGTCTTAGCTAGAAGTTATTATGTAGATCTGGTCAGAGTAAAACTTGCTGTTGGTAGAGTTCTGCATATTATGTGACAAAACTATTTGAGAAATGCCAAAATTCCTATTTTTAGTAGCTGAAAGTGTCTTTTTCTGATTGATACTTAATTTGATTAGCTGAAAGTGTCTTTTCTGAATGAATGGGTCAGTATCCGAATTGGTTTCTTGTAAAGCACATACACGTGACTATCCATGGCCTGAAATTTGGAAGGATGAGAGCACATGGGGTAGGAAAGGGGATGAGATCTTCAGAAGTCTCAGGTGACAGCCATGAATCCAGGGTGGGGGGGGGATGAAATTATTCAGGAATTAAGACTGAAAAGTGAATGGATCATAAGACAAAACATAGCTAATGTAATATATTTCACTATTGATTCTAGGCTTCATATTTCAAATATAGATATTAAAATTTAAATTTGTGTTCACTTTAGGTAGATTGGGAAACCTCCCTGAATAGATGACATCAGATATTGGCATTGCCCAAATGCCACTAGGAATCATAGAATGTTCTTATTCCCCCAATATATCCAATCTGTGCTTGGAGTTCCTGCCAAGAGTTCTTGAGGAGAAGGCAAATAGTAGAATAGAAGTACACTTTTTGTGACTCTGTGAGTGATAAGAGCCAGAGAACACAGGAGAAATTGTATTTTGAGAAGAGAAAGAGGAAGAAAACTGGGAACCAATGAAGAAATGATGAGAAATGTTGACAAAATGGGGAAGCATTAAGGCAGCCCAGAGAAAATACAAAGCAATTTTCAACTTCAACTCCAGCTGTCTTACCTGTGGGAGAAACACATTGTTCTTACAAGTTTTAGATCAAATTTGGGTTGTTGTTCTGAGATGGACACCTTCCATATAACAAGCCAGATTTGGAGAAGGAATTTATCACATTGCTCAGCAAGGTCTCAGAGTGGTATAATCAGGGGCCATCTTGAGAAGGGTACTATTGTAGGGGCAAAACTGTGCTGGAATTATAAAACAGAATCATTATAATACATGGGTCCTTTGGTCATCCCTCACAGAAACTGGATGGAAGATGTGAGCACTTACAGTCTCAGATAGGAAGACTGACTTCCACAAACTCACTGAGATGGCAGCAGAAAAAGGACTAGAAGCCTCCTTGATACGTGGTCCTTCTCTATGTGAAAAGAAGTGATTCCGGTCTCATGTGGCTGCACAGAGAGGCCTGGATTGAAAGCTCAGAGATCAAATCTGATGATTCACCCCATTCCTGTGCCCCATCTCCTGGGTGGAGCTCACTAGTTTGATTGCTTGCACCACTCTTCACAGGAATTCCAGAGACTCACCATGGCTAGGACATTTGGCTAGACCCCAAGGACACGAGGTCCCTGGAACAAGTGTGGGCCCACCAGTTGGGTCCACAAATCACTGGCACTTGATTGCTGAGCCACATCCCCAGTCTTATTTTGTATTATATAGAGAGACAGGATCTCATTGAGTTGCTTAGTGTCTCATCTGGCTGTTGCTGCGGCTGGCTTTGAACTAGCAATTCTCCTTGCCTCAGTCTCCTGAGCTGCTAGTATTACAGGTGTTCACCACCATACCTGCTCCTAGCTCATTTTGATGGAATTCAAAGGATCTACAGTTGGCTTCTTTTTTAGCCTAGGGACACCTGCTGGATTCAAATGTTAAATGACCAGGAAAGAGGTGTCTAAATGACAAGGGAAGAGGTGTCTGTATGCAAGTATTTTGTCTGGGAGGATTTTTGACATATTTTTTAATACCTACATTATTATATTTACCTTATTAGTATATATTTAATGCATTTTTAAAAACCTTTAAATGAAAATTTCTTTCTCATCTTTTTTATATAAAATGATTTTCTTGTTATTTTTTATTCCTCTTCTTCTCTATGAGTTTCTTCCTTTTTGAATTATTTTTCCTTTTATTAATTTACTTTCTTGTTCATTCTATATTTATTCTTTAGTTGTTATTGATTTTAAATGATTATTATTATATTTTATAGTATTTTTATAGCTGATTTATGTGTCTGTGGTAGCTACTGCTGTTATTCATTTTCTTCTTTCTCAATTATGATCATGATTAAACCAAGAGCCTTGAACAGTTTTGGGTGTGCTGTGCCACTAAATTATACTTCTAGCCACAAGAGTGAGGTTGTACCTTAATATTATCATGACCTAGCCCTGCTCACGCCTTGGTGGGTGTTATGGTTTGAATGTGAGGTGCCCCCCAAAGCTCCTGATAAGACAATGCAAAAGTTTTAGAGGAGAAATGATTGGGTTATAAGAGTTAAGACTCTCATAAGTCTTAATCCAATTGGTGAATTGATCTTCTGATGGGATTAAGTCAGAGGTAATACTATTCTTTGAATTACAGAAGAGACTAGAGAGTTGGGTGTAATGAAGGTGGATGATTATAATGGGATATTATTTCATTTAATCAGGGTAAGAATCACATGTACAATCATGAGGAGAGTGGAAAACTGCAAAACTGATAAGGGAAAACATTTAGAATCTGCATGAGGATAAAATATCTGGAAAAGTTGCATCATAAATATGTGTCATAAGGAAAAGAAGCAACAGTCAGAGAAGTGAATAATGCCACCAAGATCCCAAGCTGGAGAGTTAGTGATGGTCAAAAGGGTGGCTATAGATGGAGATGGGTGTGAGGGAGCATTTCAAAGGGAGAAATTCAGGTCTGGAGAGGCCAGGATGTTATCTCAGTTGTGTTCAAGGATGCTGGCAGCACCAGGAACAGGAGACAGAGGAGCCTGGTGAGCCTGGTACTGAAGCCTTCCTGGATGAGGGGGAGTGACCAGGCTGGAGAGTGACACCAACAGAAGTGGTGGCCAGTGTCACCTCATGTGGCAAATTTAATGTTTCTGGACGTGGAGAAAAAGGAAAGAAATTGTTGAAAATGAAAAGGTGAGGCAAAAATATTCTGTTTTGGCCAGAAAAAGATTTCATGTTTAAAAGGAAATGCAGAGCCTCCTACTAATAAGAAAATCATTGTTTCTAGAGGGTACCAGGTTTTTATCAGAGCATGAGTCTGAAGGGCACATTACACATTACAGTTCTTTCTTTTAAATATTTACTTTTTAGTTGTAGTTGGACACGATACCTTTATTTTATTTACTTATTTTTATGTGGTGCTGAAGATTGAACCCAGGGCCTTGTGTGTGCTAGGCAAGTGCTCTACCTCTGAGCCACAACCCCAGCCCTTCAGTATAGTTCATAAGAAGTTAGAAGATATTGGGCTCCAATTTCATTCAGTCCCCATTAATGTTTCCTGAGAGAGAGATGAAGTGGGCAACTTAGTTTGCAGTAGTATATGGCTCAGAGGAACAGTATCAACCAAGACCACTGGCACTGTAGGAGATCAATTCAAGAGGAAAATGAGGGGAGATCAGGCCCCTCATCTCATAGCACTTCCTCATGATGTGCCAGAGAAGAAGATTAAGAAACAGCTTTTCAACAAGATCGTTATTGGGTCATGTGTGGGAGAGGTGTTGTGCTCTTCTTACCCATCCAGGTAATCAGGCATTGCTCTTCTCCATCCTCCTCCTGCTCTGCTCAGGACGAGACTGCATCAGTAACTGAAGGTCACCGTGCTCTTTTGACCTCAGTAATTACACTGAAAAAATGCTCTACTTTCTTCCTGCATTGCACTTCTACTCCTCCTTTCTTTCTCAACCTAAATATGGTTTCTCTCTTCCTCAATGCAGATATTTGTACAGCACCTACCATGCCTTCCTGACACTAAACTTCATGCATGCTGTGTGTCATCAGGCTGGAGTGAAAACTCCATGAGAGAAGGGATGGTAATTTCTTCATGTGTCTGTTTTCCTGCCTGAAAGTAAGTTTCTACCTACAAATCACCCAATTACTTATCATCAACAAACTAATCTGAGAGGTTGTCTGACTGCTGTAGTGGATTCCAGAATAAACAGCCCAGTGTATTGAATTCCCCAAGTTGCCACTCACTTAATTGAAAGTGTGAGAAAGATGAAGTGCTTACTCCAAACCTCATTTTCCTCATCTGAAATAAATGATCACCCTAATGCCTACTAAGCCTTTAATGTGATGATTAAGCTTCATGATGTGTGGTGATAGTGGGGAAGGAAGTGATAGCTCATAGCTAATAATGTATATTACTGAGGTTCAATCATTCACCATCTCACTAAGGAAATATAGAGTAATTAATACAATGTAAGACTGCATTAGCTAATTGCTAAGAATGTTTATCAGAGTGTAATTATATGCTCCCATATGCTAAGTTCGCTATCTGGTACTTTTCACATAAATCACTATCATTGCTGGTTTTCTCACATCTGCCTTGAAACAGGATTGCAACAGGTGGGTCAAGTAATTTCTATCCAGTATTCATTTTGTAGACTTATTTCAACTCATCCATTATTTTTAAATATATGAACCTTTCCTGACAACAACCTACAGGTATAGGACCAACAAATAGAAGTGGACAGTAGGTCACCTGTGCATGTGATATGAGCTTCCTCATTTGGTGAGCAAGATTGATGTTTCCAGGGGTCGGAAGGACACTGCCAGAGAGATGTGTCAGTTTTTCGACAGCGAATTCCATCCACCCAGCGGGGTCTAGAACCTTCCCTGGAAGGAACCAAGAAATCCAGAGTCCCAGTATCCCCACAGCCAAGTTGTCTGCAGATCACGGACAAGGTCACAGCTTCCATTGGGCTGTGGAAGATGCTGCCCCAGGTGTTGTTGTAGAAAACCTCCAGCCACCCAGCACACTCCTGGTCCTCACTCACCAACCTGAGAGCCAGGAAGTCTAAAAGCAAGAGGAGGAAAACAGGGGTCAGGGAGTATTCAACTCTTACTGCTGTTTTTTTTTTTTTTTTTCTTTATTCCTAAGTAGTTAGTGTTCACTGCTGACTCTGCTGAAGAAATGTCCACTAGGTGGAAGACTGCAAGTTTTGTCCCTTTAACTTGTTTTGCTAACTTGTACCTCTCTTTCTGTTTCTACAACAATGTAATATAAACAAATAAACAGGAGGAACAGGGACCTGGGGGCTCCGTGGAAAAGAAACTTTATTTACTATCTGACAAACCATCTGACAGATCCTAGAAAAGGAGGCTGGACAGAGCGGTGGCAGAATAGTGAAGATCCAAATATGTCCACTCCCTGATCTTGGGAGTGTGTGGATATATTGCATCATTGCCAAAGTGCTTTTAAGACACAATTAAGAAAAGATCCTTTTGTGGATTATTCTGGATCAGCCTGAATTAATAGCTGAGTGCAATCTAATCATATCCCCAGAGCCCTATCATCAAAAGCAGATAGTTCTTTCTGCCCCTCATCAGAGGGAGATGTGAATATGAAAGGATGATCAGAGGATTGCACTGTTGTCGTTTTGAAGAAAAAAGAAGCCATGAGACAAGGAATGTAGTCAAATTCTAGAAGCTTCAAAAGGAAGGAAATGAGTCTTCCCAGAGTTTCAGCTGTTACAGCCTGCTCACATCTTGTTTATAGCCCACATAGACCTTGTTCAATATTCTAATCTACACACCATAGGATGTGTAGATTATTACTTTATATATATATATATATATATATATATATATATATATATATATATATGTGTGTGTGTGTGTGTGTGTGTGTGTGTGTGTGTGTGTGTGTGTTGTTTTGAGTCACTCAGTCTATGGTAACTTGTTACAGCAGAAATAGAAATCTGACTCAGTGGGTCAGGATGTTGCACCCACAGGTCACAGAAGAGTGATTACTGCTTTTAATGAGCACTGTAGAGAATGACTGTGACAGGGGATAGTGCTGAGAAGGAAGGAGCAGAAGCTCAGTTGCTGCAGCAGAAAACAGAAACACCTCATGTTCTCTTTTGGAAGATCAAGAATTTTCCTTCCCCTCTGCCCTGTCCCAACCCCTGTACAATGCTCAGACACCATCCTGCAGACCTTCCCAGACCTCTCAGCCTGTGCACAGACCTGAGCAGATGACCCCTGCATCCTTCTTGTGACTGCAGTTTTGCTGCCCCCAGCTCTGGGAAGGGCACTGCCACAGGTAGGCCTCCTCTCCTGTGCAGTTCAGCTCATCCAGCCAGATGGGCCCTGATCCCTCTCCAAAGTGAGCAGAGATGGTGGCCTCCAAGGCCACACCACAGCCCAGCTGTCTGCACACCACATGGGCATCACTCAGTTCCCAGCTGTCATCACAGATGGAGCCCCAGGAACCCTGCTGCAGGATCTCCACTCTCCCTGCGCAGTGACTTCCCCCGTCCACCAGGCGGAGCTGTCTGCTGTCTGAGGAGAGACAGGGTCATGTCAGTGGGCATTTATACAGGAAATGGGAAGGCTCTGGTGCTGGGGGCCTTGCTCACCTGAGCAATTGGCAATTTGGCCCTCTGAGGCTGCAGAGCCTGCTGGGTCTGACCAGGAGTCATTGCACTGCGGTAGCATCTGGGTCTGGCTTCCTACCAAAGGGTTAGAAAGCAGGAAATGGAATTAAACTTGACAATCATCCAGTGATGGAATCTGAAAGCTGTAGACCACAATCAGTAATTTCCTATTTTCAATTCAAGGATTCTGCTTCTGCTTCTAACACACACTTTTCTCTTAATTAAATGAAGTATAAATTTGCTACAGTCCCAGGAATGACATTAGCAAAGTGTGAATACAGCAGCACTGTTGGAAAGTATTTCATAGTCCCAGGGAAGCAAGACTTAGGAGTCAAGTTCAGAGAAAAGTAAAAATTAGAATCAGCGATTTTTCCCTGGAGGCATTTGAGCATTCAAAGGTAGTAGGTGGGACTCTGAAAATCTCAGCATGTTTGCCAGTTTTTTTCCTGGAGTACACTAGTAAACTTTAGGTTGGACCAAAGAGGAAGAATCATATTAAACAACTGGAAACTTGTATCATATTTTATAAAAAAAACTTTTGTCATAGATATGGTTCCCAGAATCTCACCACTTCAATTCTTTTTGAATAAGGTAATCTACCCTACATAAAGTGAACTGAAGAAGTTAAATAAAATCTTTTCTGAAGTTTTTGTAGGACAGATGATTTTTCAGATACAATGTTTGTCAAAAGAAAAGATAAACAACCGCATATATTAAACAGTTTATGAATAAAATGAAATGAATAAAGGAAAAAAAAAGAAAACATATTCAGAGAGCAGTACTGGTGAATTACCTTATAGGTAATTCAAATAATCATGATTAAATAAATGACAATATGGGCATATTTTTAGAGAAATGATAACAAAAATTAAATAAATAATTGAGAGTCAATATAATTTAGAAGAACCAAAAAAAGTCAGTAGCTAAAAATAAGAAACCAGAGGATGAGTCTAACAACACTGTAGGTTAATACAAAATGGAAAATGTAAGTGGGAAAATACAGAGTGAAGAACAGAAAGACAAACACATAGGGAATATAATAGGATACTAAGTGCAATGGTGAGAGAAACTACCATCCTAAATACTCTACAAGTTTTGGGTATTAAAGCCATAACTGATCACACAAAAGTACAAATTAGAAAATAAACAAAGTAAGATATTTAACACAATTTTAGTTTTTTTAAATACCCACAAAATCTGTGTCAAGGTCCATTGACCTGTACAGTCCATTCCTCCTGCCCTCCAGTCTGGGCTGATAGTGGTGAGTTGTCTATAACAACAGAATGTGGTGAAGCCAGCACAGCTTTACTTGAGAACCTTGCTACGAAAGTCCTACCTCCTCCTCTTGACTTAGTAGGATGTTTGTTTAATGGCAAATATACTCTGTAGGAACTATTATGTGAGAGAGAGCATTTGCAGGTTGTTCTATCAGCAGCCCCAGCTGAACTTCAAGCTACCAGCCATGTGAATGAACTGTCCTGGATTCCCAGCTTGGTCAAGTCTACAATGACCTGAGCTGCAGATGAGATCCAAGTGTAACCTCATGAGAGACCACAATAGGCAACTGCCAAGAGTCCTTGCTAAATTTATGAATCTGGAAACTATGGGCAAAATAAAAAATATTTTTATTTGTGTTGCTATTTGGGGGGGGGGGGGATGTGGGTGGGAATGATGCATTAAAAAGCAATAGCAACCAGGAAAATTACATTTATTGTGAAACAGCAATCATATGTTTCCATGTTTATTGTGCACTATTCACAATAGCTACCATATGGAATCAGTTGCACAATGAAAGAGAAATTCATAAAGAAAATGTGATGTAAATACAACCATAAAAAAGAATGGAGTTCTACTTTTTGCATCAAATGGATGAAATTGTAGGACATCATGTTAAGTTCATTTACCCAGACACAGAAAGACAAGTACTTCGTCATACGTAGAAGAAAAGAGAGTTAATTTATGGAATCTGGCAATGACATTATGGTTATCTAAAAAAATCTTGAAAATATTGGAAGATTAAAGGAACATATCATCTTATCCACCTAATCTTAATAATCACTCAGAAGTATTTTACATATTCACGGATAAATATGGCAGAAGGAAGCGAGAATATAGAAAAATATTAGCATTGAGTAATCTTGGTCAGAGTTATCTGGGAATTTTATCTTATCCTTGAAGCTTATTCAGAATTCGCAAATTATCCAAAAAGTAAAAATAAATGATAGAGAAAAAAGGAAAACAAAACCACAAAAAACAAATGTGAAAACTAATTGTTATGGTTTAGATACTGGGTGTCCCAAAAAGCTCATGCGTGAGACAATGTAAGAAAGTTTAAAAGTGAGATGTATGTTATGAGAGCCTTAACCTAATCAGCACATTAATCCTCTGATAGGATTACCTGGGAGGTAACTGTAGGCAGATAGGGTGTGGCTTGATGAGGTAGGTGCCTAGATGAGTATCTTTGGGTTTATATGTTGTCCTTGTTGAGCAGAGTTCTCCCTATTTCTGCTTCTTGGTGGCCATCTGCTGACCTGCTTTTTCTTGCTACACTCTTCCACCATGATATTCTGCCTTACCTTGAGGCCAAAGGAATACAGTAGGCTATCTAAGGACTGAGACCTCTGAAACTGTGAACATCAATATAAACTTTACCTCCTAAAATTGTTCTTGTTAGACCTTTTTGTCACAGCAAGTAAAAGCTATCTAAAACATTGGCAGAGTTAATTATTAGGACATTTCATTAAAAGAAACACTAATAGCATCAAAAACATAAGACACCAAGAGTATACCTAGTAAAAATTCTCTATAATTGCCAAGAGAAATTAGAGATATACATTGTAAGTCAAGTAGCTCCATTTTGATGTTTAGGTCAAATCTAAACTCTATTTAATATCACCATGAATTATTGTATTACATGTATCAACAAAGTGAAATCAAACCCCTATCTCTCACCATGCACAAAGCTCAACTCAGCATGGATTAAGGACTTAGGAATACAACCAGAGACCCTGTTTCTAATAGAAGAAAGAGTAGTCCATCATCTCCATCATGTGGGATTAGGCCCCAACTTCCTTAATAAGACTCCTTTGCCTCAAGAATTAAAATCAAGAATTAATAAATGGGATGGACTCAAACTAAAAAGTTTCTTCTCAGCAAAACAAAACAAAACAAAATCTGTGAGGCTAATAGAGAGCCTACATCTTGGGAGCAAGGTTTTACTCCTCACACATCAGATAGAGCACTAATCTCTAGGGTGTATAAAGAACTAAAAAATCTAAACACCAAAAAACACTCAAAACAAACAAAAAACAAATAACCCAATCCACAAATGACCAATGACCTGAACACACACTTCTCAGAAGATGATATACAATCAATCAACAAATACATAAAAAGATGTTCATTGTCACTAGCAATTAGAGAAATGCAAATCAAAACCACTCTAAGACTTCATCTCACTCCAGTCGGAATGGCAGCTATTATGAAGACAAACAACAATAAGTGTTGGCAAGGATGTGGGGAAAAAGGTACACTCATACACTGCTGGTGGGGCTGCAAACTCATGCAGTAAATATGGAAAGCAGTATGGAGACTTCTTGGAAAATTGGGAATGGAACCACCATTTGGTACTGGAGATTCACCTCTGTACCACAGCCCAGCTGATGGCAAACTACATTGGCTTTGGCCATATTTCAGTGGGAGGCACAGAGTGTTCTCCAGCCTCCAGAGGTCTTCATATCCACTTGCCCCAGCTATCCCTCACCTTGAAAACAGCATACTCAGGGACACAGCCACTGCAATGTTTATAGCAGCACAATTCACAAAAGCTAAACTGTGGAGCCAACCTAGAAGCCCTTCAATAGATGAATGAATAAAAAAAAATGTGGCATATATACACAATGGAATATTACTCAGCAATTAAACGAATAAAATCATGGCATTTGCAGGTAAATGGATGGAGTTAGAGAAGATAATTCTAAGTAAAGTTAGCCAAATCCAAAAAACCAAATGCTGAATGTTTTCTTTGATATAAGGAGGTTGATTCATACTGGAATAGGGGGAGGGAGCATGGGAGGAATAGATGAACTCTAGATTGGGCAGAGGAGTTGGAGGGGAAGGGAGGGGACATGGGGTTAGAAATGATGGTGAAATGTGATAATCATGATTATCCAAAGTGCATGTATGAAGACACAAATTGATGTGAATATACTTTGTATACAGCCAGAGATATGAAAACTTTGTGCTCTGTATGTGTAATAAGAATTGCAATACATTCTGCTGTCACATATAAGTAAAAAATAAATAAATTATTTATAAAATAAAATAAAATAAATATAAATATAAAATAAATATATGAAGTTGTTTATAATATTTATATGAAATGCATAAGACCAAGTATGATCAATGCACTGGGCAGGAAAAACAACACAATTAGAGTAGTTACTTTAAAGAAAACTCTAAAAAAGTTAATCAGACATGCTATAAAGTTACGATAATTAAGGGAATATGCATGGCTACAATCCTAGAAAATGACAGAACAAAATGAAAAAATTATAGAGCAGGAATCAGAAATATCTACACCCTATATATTTCAAAGGTGACACAGTAGTGGGGAAAAGCCTTTTCAGTAATGATTCTGAGTCAATTGGATGTCCAAACAATAATATGAAACATTTTTTAACATCACACACACTATATACAATACTGACCCCAGAAAGATTGTAAAATTATATATAAAATAAAAGTAACTAAACATGCATAAGACACTATTGGAGAACATTTTTATAATCTATGGTAGTAAAGTTATATTTAAAATGAGAATAGAGACAAGTACACTGGTGCACATCTATAATCCCAGTGGTTTGGGAGATTGAGACAGTAGGATTGCAAGTTCAAAGCCAGCCTCAGCAATGGTGAGGCACTAAACAACTCAGTAAGACCCTGTCTCTAAATAAAATACAAAACAGGGCTGGGGATGTGGCCCTGTGATCCAGTGCTTCGGAGGTCAATCCCCAGTACCAAAAAAAGGACTTTAGGACACTCTGTGTATGGGAAATATTTATACACTGAGCTTCATCATGAAGAAGAATTTGATCCCTAAATGAAGACAATATTAAGAGAGGAAAAATAAAAAGAAATGATTAAAAATGTATATGAATATACCCATATTTGCACCAAACAATACTGGCATGGTAATATGTATGATCATTATTTCAGAACTCAATATGTGCAAATACTCAAATCTCCATATCATTTAAATGAATCAATACATGATCCTGTGGTTATTTAGGAGAAAACTCTACAGCAATAAAAATAAATGAGGCCGAGCTAAAAATAAAAGCATAGTTCATTCTAAATGTTACGTTGAGTCAAAGTAGACACAACAAGGAACATGGTACATGAATTTATATAAAGCTCAAAACCTGAAAAAAAAATTTGGCAGCAAAAGTTAGAGTGGTCTTCTTTGGAGGGGAGAAGGGCACAGTGACTGGAGGGATGTGCAGGTGACATCTGGGAGCTGCTGATGCTCTCTGATAGTCCAGGGTGAGGAATATGACAGAGCTGTCATTCATTGTTATATAGTGTTATCCATTAATTTCAATAAATTATAATGCCTATTAAAAAACAATCCTCTTAATATTATGGAAAGGGCTGAAAGATGAATGATAATAAGAATCCTAATTCACCACAAAATGTCTAATTTTTGAAGTCAGCTCTCCATGCTGTCTCCTCTTAGAGACATGTCACTCAAGTACCAGTCAGCCCTGACCTCTCTTACCTGAGCAGACCACAGAGGCCGTATTGCCATGGGCACAGGCAGGAACACCCAGGGCAGTCACAGGGCAATTCCACAAGAAGGACTCAGACCCTGAGCAGTGGAATCTGTCTCTCCAGATCTCATCTCCTCCTTCCACAAAGTACTCTCCCTTTGGGGTGGAGATGGCAACTCCACAGCCCAGCTGATGGCAAACAACATTGGCATTGGCCATATTCCAGTGGGAGGCACAGAGTGTTCTCCAGCCTCCAGAGGTCTTCATCTCCACTTGACCCTCACACTGAGAGCTGCCATTTTTCATGAGCCGAACATCTGTATATCCTGGTAGAAGACAGGGTTTAGCAATATTCCACATTTTTCTTATGCCAATAGAGTGTGTTGGGAGGTTGAAGTACTGCTGTGAGTCTCACCTGAGCAGACAACTTGCACAGCTCCTTTGTGGGGGCAGCTGCCTGCAGGACAGGGCACTCTGGGGCAGAACCAGAGGCCAGGCTCCTGCCCCTCACACTGTAATTCTTCAGCCCAGATCTGTTCACTGTCCTCTCTGAAGGGCAGTTTCCCCAGGACAGATGCAGCCTTGCCACACCCCAGCTCTGCACAGATGACCTGGGCTGTGGGTAATGTGAAATTCCCATCAGATACTGGAATCCAGTCTCCTCCAGAATTCACTTCCACTCGCCCAGAGCAAGATCCGTGTCCTCCAACCAGATGCACAAATCCTATGTGAGAAAAAACAAACAACAACAAATACCAGTGAATAGAAGGAGAAAGCTGCAATTCACAGGTAATTCTGTGAAATCTTTTCATTTTCCAGAGTTGTGTTGTGGGGTGTGGATTCAATTTGTGGTACCAGAATATGAATTCTATGAGCAAGTGTCTGAAGATAAATTTTGGAGAATGAATTTGTAATGTGCTTTCTAAATTGCTGTTTCATGATATGAATGTACACACTGTCCCATACACATACTTTACATACATGAATATGTGTTTTTCCAAGAAATGTGTGTATATATAGATATAGATCGTGTAAAAATGGATTTTTCTTTTATAGGAACATATTATTCTTTATATTATAAAGGTATCTGTGTGTTTTTTTTACTTTCTTTGATACTGTAATCTCGTTTTTCTTTGTATAGGATCTGTATCTATTCTCTGAATGTGAACCCACTGTAGAAAAAGATTAGGATTAATTTTTTACTATTTTATGCCCTGAAACTTCCAATTCACAGATTTACAGATAATAATTCAAACTAAGATAACATTTGTTAATGAATGAACAATTCCAATATGTGTCCAAAACTGACAATTGATATTTATTTACAATTTAGAGATGAGAAAAGAGACCACTAAATAGGTGAGATAGAAGCCTGGTTATTGTGACAAAAATAATCAGGATTCTTTACATCATCCTTCCCATTAAAGAAGACTGAAATGACATTTAAACTATGAACAGACGTTATCCAGAGATTTGAGCATTTTTTTGTTTGTGTTTTTATGGAATTATTTTATTTCTAATAAACAGATTTTGAAGAATCCATTATGCATCTATTGAAAGCTGATCAGGAAGTGATTTTGAGTATGTGTTCAGACCTTTGGGGAGGCATCTAGTTACAGATATGAAATTATAATATAATAGTAATTTTTTGTAGTGAAGAAATTCTGCAAGGAATCTTTCTCAAGAGAATAGCATGTTCATTAATTTCATTAATTCGCCCCTAAGTAAACAATCAAACATCAAAAACATTAATCTACCTTTTTACAATTGTTATGTAAAATTGGAATACTCCCTTTTCTCTCTGAAACTGATGCATTAACATGAAGTGTGGATTCCTGAAGTGTTACTTCAATGGTAATTTTAATTTATTTCATTATTATAGAGGATTAATATAGTGTACCTTACTTATAGAGTCAAAATGTAGATACACAGATTTCAAACTGAAATCACTAAAAATCTTTAGAAGGTTATGTTTTAAAGAATATGAGACCTGCAGGTACATCATAAAATCAGCCATCAATACAGTTATCCAGTGACACGAAAACTAAAGATCAGCCTCTAGAACAGAAACCTGGCTGGCTGTAGTCTCTGCCTGTGGATGTAGCCAGGTCCTCTTCTCTGTGAATTATTGTTTTCACTCAGTCACTTTCAAATTGAAGTTCAAAATAAGTACCACCAGGGAGGACCATCAGGTTTGCATGACTGATTGTAGTTTCAGCTCAGATAAAAACATGAACATGCCTGCAGTGACACTAGTCCTCTTTATTTTTCTTTTTTTTTAATTAACTGTATTTTGCCCATTTCTAGTATCCAAGTGTTAGAATGTCTCAGTTGAGATAGAATAACATTACATTCAAGCTCTATCTAAGACAATCCACTGGGGTATCTGAGCATAGTGTTTGTCCTCTGACTGAAATGTTAGGAGGGTATCTTTGTTATAGGCACTGAATTCTATTAAATTTTCAAATCTTTGCAAAAATTTTTGTATAAATTCCATTAATAAAAATTTGAAGCATTTCAGATAAAGAGATAGATCTCTCATGTAGATTTCACCTTTACTCTTCTACTCTACACAAACCAGAGGGACCTAATCCAGCTATAGCCTGAGAGAATGAAGAATAAAATTAGCATAGTACATGTACTCAGACCATCAACTGAACATCTGTCATTGTACTGAACAGAGATCCTGAGGTGTTCAGAAAGCAGTATTATTGAAAGTCAGCAATACATTTATTTATCTTTAAAAATGCATTAAATAAGCAGTATGGAGATTCCTTGGAAATCTGGGAATGGAACCATCACTTGACCCAGCTATCCCTCTCCTCAGACTATACTCAAAGGACTTAAAAACAGCATACTACTAAGACACAGCCACATCAATATTTATAGCAGCACAATTCACAATAGCTAAACTGTGGAGCCAACCTAGATGTCCTTCAACAAATGAATGGATAAAAAAATGTGATACACACACACACACACACACACACACACACACACACACACAAAATGGAATTATATTCAGCAGTAAAAGAGAATAAAATCATGGCATTTTCAGGTAAATGGATGGAGTTAGAGAAGAAAATGCTAAGTGAAGTTAGCCAATCCCCCCCCAAAAAAAAATATGCTGAAGTTTTTTTCTGATATATGGAGGCTGACTCATAGTGGGGTAGGGAAGAATAGATGAATTCTAGATAGGGAAGACGGAGGGAAATGGAGGGGGCAGGGCATTAGCAAGGATGGTGGAATGTGATGGACATCATTATCCAAAGTACATGTATGAAGACACAAATTGGGTGTCAACATATTTTATATACAGAGATATGAAAAATTGTGGTATATATGTGTAATAAGAATTGTAATGCATTCCACTGTCATATATTTTTAAAAATAAAATCAATTAAATAAAAGAGAGGAATGAAGAAATAAAAATAAAAATACATTAAAGATTTATTATGTTTTGGGTATTGTATTATAAAGTAACATATACCCAAAATCCCTTGGAACAATTTTTTGAAAAATATGTGATTTAGAAATTAGAGCCAACTACCATCAATACAAAATGTAATTATTCTTGGGAGATCATTTCCTCTGTTGCACTTAATGAAATATAAAAACAACAGTCAAAGTGTGGTTCAAAAGCAGGTATACATCATTCTATAAACCCTAATGATGCTGTGTATTTATTATACTCCACAGTTCTTCAGTAAATAGGAAATTCTTATATCATAGTGGTTTAGAAATCCTCATTAGTTTTATTTGCAGAAATACATATCAGTTTTTGTAATATGTCAATGTTATAAAGGGATATGGAGACAAAAATAATTTTCTTTTCTCATCTGCATTACCAAGCAGTTGAGGTAAATAGTACCACAATAAGTCAGTCCATGTTGCAAGGACATTTATTCAGAAGACTGGTGTGAAGGTATTTTCACTCCTTTTTTCACTTGTCTTGCTCATACAGGATATATTCTCATATAAAACAAAGTTTCCATATTGAACCTACCACTCAGTCTGCACAATCTATAATCTTGAAATCTTAGAAGTACGAATGTTGAGGTTGGTTCATCTGGGCCTCTAGTGTGTGGACACATAATTGCCAACTGTTTGTTCAGAGTAGCCCTTCTTCTTGATTCATAGGGAATGAAACATATGAAGACATGAAATTATTTAAGAGGTCTAACTTAGAATTTATTCAGAATGTCTGTTTTTACAGTCTTTTGAAATAACTGCTGTGCATCTTTTCCTCAAAGTCATAAACAGCATTTATATTGGAAACTTCTAATTTGATCTTTGAGGCATAATATGAAGCACACCTAATGTCTGAAGACTTTTTGAGAAATAAAACATTAAATATAATATTCAATGTAATTCTCTTACTGAAGATTCACATTACAAACAATTCAGACTCAGGTGTCTGTCTCAACTGGGAGGCTGTCGTCTTCAGGTTATATTTCCATTTTTCTGTCAGTCATGCACGTACAACTCAAGCTTCCAACAATGACCATACACTGAATTTTTTAAATGTGGTATATATACATATGTTGGATTGCAATAAAATGATCTGATCAGGAACTGTGGATAATCTACCAAACATAAAATTAAAGAATAATAAAACAAAACCATATGAAGCAAACCAACTCAAAATAGACTGGCAGAGCTCACATGGACATCTAAAGGGAAAGTATGAGGAATGGTGACCTGCTGCTTTTAGGCACCCCCATCCCACATGGTTCTTCAAAATCACTGCTTTTTTGGCTTTGCTCCTCAAAAATATCTTTTGCAGACAGTTGAGAAATGTGGGTCCTGGTGCACTGTTGAATCTCAAAGAAGGTAAATTCAGGGCAAAGGCTTTAACTGACTCTGTCTGTGTTATTGGCTCACCACTAAAATCAGGGAGAGTGAAATCTTGTGAATGAGCACATCAAGTGAACCCAGTGATGAACTGACTCCCCAAAGGAAGAAATCTCAGAAGTATGATGCTCAGCAGAACATTAAGATGAGCAAATCTGTGGAATCTGTGTAAATACAACTACAGTAATTTTATGAAGATGTTTATTAAATATATTATCCTTTTAATGGATAATTCTGTTTTCTTTAGCAAATGCACTTATTTTCTAAAACATGGGTCAATATCCAAGTTGGCACTTCTATTTTCTATAGAACTTAAAATTTCACAAAGAAGAATAAGTCAGTCTATATTACAAGGACATATGCAGAAGACTGTTGTAAAGGTAGAAATTATGTATGAAATATGATAAAAATTATTAAGAATTATATTTTTATGAAATAATAGGCTTAGAGTGGATTGAAATTGAATACAGATACAGATTCAAACACACACACACACACACACGCACACACACACACTTACATGTGTATATGTATGTGGAATTTAGTACTTATAAAATCATTCATATACCTACATTTAATTTTAATAATAATATTTTTAATTATTAGACTATATAAATATTTATAATGTTAGAAAATTTAGGGATAGGTATTAAATAAAAGAAAATTAGTCTCTATTTGATATTGTCCTGTATAGTCAAATATGTAGATGTCAAATAGAGTCACAAATGAAGAAAAAAATGATACCTGGTCTTAAAACGTACCAGAGTGGATTATAAAGAAGACCTATTCTAGAGCTTTCCATTAACATAAAATTTTCAGTAGGTCCTCTAACATGACTTTTCCATATTAACTAAAGTCCTTCAATTATGT